CTCCACCCAGGAAAGTCCATGTGCAGATCATTCAGTCCCAAATGAAGGGTATAATTGAGGCAGAGTGTGCTGTGGCAAGTCAATAGATATCTGTAATCAAAACTCAATTTCTGTAATTATTTTCTATAATTCTACTATTTTGCTCTAAATAACGCCAGTTTTGTGGATGAAATTAACCTCTGGTTGCCCATTTAACATTTCTTTACTCTAAAACCCAAGGGATTAGTAAGGACAGACACTGTTTTCTCTCAGGTGAGCTGGCACTTATGACCACCAGACTGACCTTTAAACTTCCTAAAGCTTCCCTCTCCAGCTCCCTGTAGGCCCTTGAGATATTGAAAAGTTGCTCTGAGGTCTCCACACAGTCTTCTCTTCTCCAGGCTGAACAGCCCCAACTCCCTCAGCCTGTCCTCATAGGGGAGATGCTCCAGTGCTCTTAGCAACTTCATGGCCCCCTAATAGCCAAATAATTTGGAAACACTTTATTCCAAATGACCAGTCATTTCCCAGGCTACAGTCACATACAAAATCCCCTGAGAAACAAACCTGTGTAATGACTTCTGATTGGAGTTGCCTCGGCAGTGCCAGCACACAGAGACAATCACTGCCCTGGTTCTGCTGACATGCTATTTTTGATACAAATTTAAGTTCCTGTCTTCAATTTTTATCGTTAAACACTACATTTGTGAGAGCCATTTGAAGTGTTTTCAGGATCAGACACTGCTATATTCAGTCTTCACATGTGAAATGTGTGTAAGCACTTTTTAAAACCCAGGCCAGTTTCACCTCTGGCATAGGGTCAGCTTGCCTGAGCTCATGTTGCTCACTGAGAGCAGATACAAACTTGGCCCTTAAAATTTGAGAGTAATCTGTTATCATTTAACATTCTTAAAATATCTCTCGTGCTCAGAGACCTCCTTAAGCAAATATGTGTGTGCAGCCACTGATCTGTGGCCATCTCTGGGGTAGAAGGTGACAACCAGTTTTAAAAAAGAGCATCCTGGATAACACAGTAGAATGGAACATATTTTACCCAGTGTTCTGGACCTTCTCTTACATCTTGCGCCCTGGTGATTTTCACTGGCGATGGAAAAAGAAGGAGAAAAGACATCAATAGGTTCTGGGTACACTGAATCAGCCAAATCACCCTCCCCAGAGTCAGGCAGTGCCCTGACACACATTTATTTCAGGGAAGCCCCTGAGCTCTGCAGTGTGATGATGATCTGAATTCTTTAAAGCTAAGAGTGTTTGTAAACAAGGCTTATTTCAGTATGAACTCTGCTATAATTCTGCATCCATACTCCCCTTGCTGTCCCTTTTCCCTCCCCTTCTCCCTTCCTCTTTTAGAATGTCCAATTCCCAGCTACAACTCCAAAGCCTTGTCGTGCCCAGGGGAATGGCACAAGCTCTTTTATGCAGGAGACAGCAGTGGCAGTGTCCACTTAACCCTACAGCTCTGTGATTGCCCCCAGCACGCACTTCCCTGCTCCCTGTCCCTTCTCCCTTGTCCCTTCCCCCTCTCCCAAATATTTCTCCAGCTCTGTCTCATTGGTGCACTACTCTCCCTTGCCTTTTTTGGGCTGCCACCCTGTCAATCTAATGCAATAAGGCCAGGGGCAGGTGCAAACCCCTTGCTATGGCTCCTCTTACTGACCAATCCTCGTCCCAAAATACCTAAGAGCCAATGGAATGGGAAAACCCGGGACCCCGGGGAGAGGGACGGGGCAAAGCTGCTGGATTGCTGGGGGGAGGGGGCATCCATTTAGGACCTGGGTTAGCCCAGGAGCTGCCAAACGCTTGGATTCCTCTTGGGATCGTGGTGACTTGTGGAGAGCAGGAGTTCTCTGCTGATTCACTTCCATCACTGCCAGCATGGTGATCAAAGTCTTTGTTGCTACATCTTCGGGGTCCACAGCGGTAGGTGACTCATTTATCATCCTCTTACTGATGGGATCAGGGTGGGGAATTAGCTTGGAAGATGCCAGGACAGAGTTTGGATGTGAGAGGAAAAACCTACTGGATTTCTCAGCAGTAATAAACGTTAGTTTTATTCCTCACTGCTCACCTTATTCTTGAAAGCTTCTCAAGATGTAGGGGATTCCTGTCAGTGCAGGCTGGCTTGGATGGGAACTTTTCCCACAGTTAAAACATTTACATCTAAATCATCTGTCATTTAATGGATTTACTGCTGTTTGAAAAAGTACATGCAACATACATCCACTGAAGGAGGGAAAAAGTGGATGTTGTATTTGCACAAAAGCTAAGATACATTGTTTGCAGTAGAAAAAATAATGTGTTTGTTTTTAAAAGAGACTTCAGGACACTTCTTCTACAAAAGGGGAACTCTGTTTAAGAAAAAACCTGAAGCTGAATAAAGTTAGGCAGAAAAACTTCATCCCCATCCCCCTGCCTTTCCCTAGGTTTTGGAAGGTTTTTTCTTGTCTGGTGGTTTCTCTTTTAGGTGTTGGGGTTTTTTTTGGTGTGTGTCTCTTGAAACGCAATACTGATGATTTTTAGCATTGACATCTCCTGCTGTAGCTGTCAGCATAGTGTATCAGCTGAAGGGAAGGGCATGTGAATAGTAGGGAGGTTGGAAGTCCGTGGGAGGTGGGAACCGGGAAAGGACTGTTTCCTTTTATATCCAGTTCCCAGATGAGCTCAGGTTTCAGTTTTCCTTTGGCACTCACTCACTCCCAGTGACATGGCTAAACAAACTGGCTGGGGCTTGCACATAGCTGTAACTACATCTCTATCTCCCTGACACCAGCTCCATTTCTTTAAGAAGCTTCCAGAGTGCGAAAACTCCAAAAAACAACCCCTGCTCCTGGGACCATCATCTCTAGAAAATGAACTGGGGGGCATTCACTAAAATTCCAGTTGGAATACTGCTGAGGACGTTTGCAGCTCTCAGCCAGCCTTTTGCTCAGCCTGGCGCTCTAAATTTACTAGTGACATTTAGCATTCCTTTTTTTTTTTCTATATAATAAACCTCAGATGCAAAGGAAAAAAAGGAATAAGAGGAGGTTGGAAACTTCAGGTTTGGCAAGTTAGAATAGTTCATTTACTGCTCAAGTAGCTTTATAAATTGCAGATGCTGTGGATGGGTATTCTTGCTCCTGTTTGGTCTGCTTTGGTCTCCTTTGGACACTCCAAAAGAGGAGTATGGAATCTTCACACAGCAAAATGCCTCTGTATTTCCTCCTCTCTGGTGTGCTGGGTGTGTGGATAGCTGCAGCAATCTCAGAAGATAACACGTGTCTAGATTACTGGTTCAGAATTCCAATACCAAGTAAACCCAGTGCTCAGCTGGAGTAGTTTTCCACATTTTCTGGTGAACATGGATGGAAGGAAACCTTTCAATGAACCTTTCATGAGTTTTGGTATACATAAAATAAAATTCACTCATGCAAGGGGTTAGCACATATATCCCTAAAATCCTATTAAACACAAAATTTGTATCAGCCTTGTACAGCTTTTCCTGAGGAGAATTCATTTAATCCCTAAAGAATTTAAATTGGAAGTCTAAATTACCCTAGTGGCACTGGTGATCTCTTCAGTGAGGCTGATCTCCATCATGTTGCTGATTTGGAGTTCCTAAATGAGATGGGCTCAGCCCCCTCTGGTGTAAATCAGCAGAGGATCATTGGTAAAGGATGAAAAATGCTTCTATTCTATATACTGCATGGTCAAACTACTCTTTGCAGTGAATGCAGTGAACCCAGTGACATCCTGGTGCTCTGGATCAGATTTTGGCTGACAGAACTCACTGTGGCTCTAGAGCAAATCTGCTGTCTGTATTTTTCCCCTCAACAGTTCAGAAATTTATCTTAATTATCCTCAGCTTTAATATCTTTCTGCTCCAAACTTAGCTGGTATTGGACTATTCATTAAGGGAAGCAGAAGTGCAGATATGTATTTATAGCACTAAGAAGCAATAAATGTTTGGCTTGGAACAAGCAGTAAAACAAATAATTTTGTTGCTAGTCACAAAGGTGTTTGGGGATTGGTAATATCCTTCAAGGTTCTCATTCGTAGGAGAACAGGGGATAGTGTGTTACTCAGAGGAAGTCTTCCAAAGTCTTCCAAAGTCTTTTTTACTGCTGCTCATGGTTAGGGCACTTCTAAAATCCTTTTATTCCAAATGGTTTTGCTGAGGTTTTATGAACTTGCTGCCCTTCAAATCCTCATCCAAAGCAGTGTGGGCAGCAGGTGAGGGAGAGGATTCTGCCCCTCTGCTCTGCTCTGGTGAGATCCTGCCTGGAGTGCTGCCTCCAGCTCTGAGATCCTCAGCACAGGAAGGACATGGAACTGCTGGAGAGAGTCCAGAGGAGGCACCAAGATGATTAGAAGAATGGAGCAGCTCTGCTGGGAGGAAAGACTGAGAGTTGGGATTGTTCAGCCTGGAGAAGGGAAGGATTCAGGGTGACCTAACTGTGGCCTTCCAGTACCTGAAGGAACCTACAGGAAAGATGGAGAGAGACTATTTCCAAGGGCCTGGAGTGCCAGGACAAGGGGCAATGGCTTCACACTGACAGAGAATAGGGTTAGATTGGATATTGGGCAGGAATTTCTCCCTGTGAGCTGCTGAGACATTGGCACACGTTGCCCAGAGAAGCTGTGGCTGCTCCATCCCTGGAAGTGTTCAAATCAAATTCAAGTAAAATCAGAGGTTAGAGTGTGATAAATTAGAATAATTAGCCAGAACAGGTTGTTCATGTGGTGTAGAACCAGGAGCTACAGCAAATCTGCCTGCCAACAAAAATGTTCCTCTTGCTGCAAGTTGTTGCCTATGTTTGCTTCTGTCCTGGGCAGCTGATCAACAGGAATCCACTAGGTTGTGAGGATACAGATGAGAATATTTTACTTTACATCAGGTGAAACTGATAGTATCTGTAGCTCTGCACAGAATCGTAGAATCATGGAATGGTTTGGGTTGAAAGGGACCTTAATCATCTAGATTACTAGATCATCCAGTTCCAACCCCTGCCCTGGGCAGGGACACCTCCCACCAGCCCAGGCTGCTCCAAGCCCCATCCAACCTGGCCTGGAACACTCCCAGGGATGGAGCAGCCACAGCTGCTTTGGGCAACTCTGACACTCTAGGTAGATAACACATTTAGAACAGTTGTTTTTTTCTGCAGCTAGGGATTGTGGAACTTAAGCTTTGTTGAAAGGGAAAATGATATTGATGAAACAACATCCTTCTCACCATCACTTTCCAAGTAATGTACGCCCAAGTAATCTGAATTCTTCCCATGCCATCAGACACAAGTGAGGGGAACCAACAAACTCCTGCAATCTCATCCACTCTGGGAAAACCTTTGCATGTCCTCAGTGTTGTTACATCCCAAATTTCCCTCTGGGAGTGCTGCATGCTGAAGAGATTCTTTTGGTTGCCTAGTACTTAGTGCCACCCACAGCAGAGGTTTGCTTTATGGTTTCACACTTCATGTGTGTCCCAAGGCTCTTGCTCTGCCTAAACTTTAGTAATTGTCAGCCTTAAGCACATCTTCTGCTTAGTTTATTGTTGTTGTCATGTTGAGAAACATCTTCCCTTTCCCTTATGCAGCATAATTCCATGTAACTTCTTGCTTTATCTCAGCATTAATTTTTCACACAACCCTCACCTAATTTTTGCTTTCAGACCTGGTGCTGCCTCAGCCTCCTGTGTATGATGAACCTCAGGCTGAAGAAAAATGGTTAAGCCAGGGTGAAAAGTTATAGCTATAGCCATAAGTAGGGGAGCACAGAATCTATAGCTCCATTTTCTCCTCAGGGACATTATCCCTCTGGGACAGCAGCTATTCCAGGAGCCATATCTACTGCAGTGCCTGTGTCCAAAGGGACAAGCTGACACTGAAATTGCAGCTGACAGCACTTGAGTGCACTGGCTGTCAGAGCATGTGATGAAACTCCTGGTGCTGGCTCCTGCAGATTTTATTAACCATTTATACAAACATGACCCTGCTGCTTCCTCCAATGAAGTGTCCCTCAAGCAATCCTTTCTGCTGCCTGAACGTGTTCTGCAGATCACTGTGTAGATAAATAGCCACTAATGAAATTATCTCTGTTTAAACAGTGAAAATAGGAATATAAATAAGGCCCTTTGAGCTCTGTTAGCTCCATGGCATTTGAACACTTTGGATTAGTGTTTCCATTCAAAGTGATGTGCTTTTTTTTTAGCTTCCCCAAAACCTCTGTTGTTGACATAAATATGTACAGCATGTATGTTATTTTCAATATATTTATAAAGTAGATACTTCTTTGTTTAAACAAGACAAAGAATTTTTATCCTTAGTCATGAAAATTCATCCTTCCATTGTAATAGGCAATCACTCTACTTCAGCTCTTCTGGTTTATTAGGTTATAGAAATACATAATCCATGATTTATTTCTCATCTCACTGTCTGTCTCAGTCTGATTTATACTCACTTGGTGTCACTTTAAATTCAGATCATAGTATCATAGAATGTTAAGGGGTTGAAATGGACCTTAAATATCATCTAGTCCCAACCCCCTGCCCTGGGCAGGGACACCTCCCACCAGAGCAGGTTGCTCAAGGCTTTGTCCAGCCTGACTTTGGACACTGCCAGGGTTAGGGCATCCACAGCCTCCCTGGGCAACCTGGGCCTGTGTCTCACCACCCTCACAAGAAAAAAATTCTTCCTAATATCTAAGGTTATAAGCTTGATGCCTGCATCCTAGGTCTATACAGAACTAGTATCAAAGGAAATAAAGGCCATGAATGAATTTCCAACCTAAAGGGAGAATTTCTTCATGGAAAGGGTTGCCAGGCATTGGAATGTGCTGCCCAGGGAAGTGGTGGAGTCACCATCCCTGGAGGTGTTCAAGGACCACATGGCACTTAGTGCTCTGCTCTAGTTGACAAGGTGGTGATTGGTCAAATATTGGACTAGATGGTCTTGGAGGTCTTTTCCAACCTAAATAATTCTGTGGTTCTGTGATTTCGTAAACTTGCCATACTTGCACGAATTCTTCTTGTAATAGTAATTGCTTTCAGAAAACAATTTTCTTTTTAAAGAAGGAATGTTGGTTTTCCTCCTTCCTAACCAGATAAAGAAGAAACAGCAAGAAGTCGTGGGCTTTTTAGAGGCCAACAAGATTGACTTTCAGCAAATGGACATAGCAGGTGATGAAGACAACAGAAAATGGATGAGAGAGAATGTCCCAGGTGAAAAGAAGCCTCAAAATGGAATTCCCCTCCCTCCACAGATCTTCAACGAGGAGCGATACTGTGGGGTAAGAAACTATTTGGATATTTAAATGCCTTCAGAGAGTCATTTTGCGCAGAAAGTGACTTTTTTTTCCATTAGGAGGAATCATAGAATCATAGTATTTTAGAGGTTGGAATGGACCTTACAAATCATCTAGTCCCAACCCCCTGCCCTGGGCAGGGACACCTCCCCACCGGACCAGTTTGCTCAAGGCTCATCCAGCCTGGCCTTGAACAGCACCAGTGTTGGGGCATCAAACAAACTCCTTAAGGCAATTTGATATTCACCTTGAAAGAACACTTCTTAGGAAGCATTTCTTAAGCACATAAAAGCAATGAAACAAAAGAATATTTATGTTTAAGAGCAAAATATACATGGAAGAAAAATGGACCAGAGAAACTTCTTGAACTTTCAGTTGATTTTGCATGGTGAGTGTTGATATTTTGTTTGACTTAGACTCATCTGGGCTTCAAGGATGCCAAGCAGATGTCTGAGGCACCAGAGGCTGTGAAAAGCCTCTTTCTTTACCATTGTATTATACAAATAAAAGACTGACGATTTACTGGAATAGTCCTAGTATTTGGTTTGAATTATTGAAATTATATTGCTTATTCAATTAATATCCAACTCTTCATAGCAGAAGTTGTAGTGCTCATCTGATGGTTTTATATTCTCATGCTGCTTGTAACAGGTTCTTTCTCCTGAGACAGTTTGTTCAAATCTGAGACAGATAATACTGTGCCAGCATGAATATTAGGATTGTGAATCAAAAGAGATAATCTGAGAACTTGTTTTTCTCATCGTCTGGATGGAAATACATGGTCTGGAAAGTGCTTTGATATGATCTCTGAAACGAACCTGCAAAGTACTCTGAAACGCAGATCACATAGTGAGCCCAGTTTTAAGTTACTGCACAAAGCCAGTGCGAACTCCTGCAAGGTTGTATGAGAGAGAAGGGATTTACATGCCTCAGAGTTCTCAGAATTCACTTCAGAGCTCTCAGAGCAAAAGGTTCTAGCATGACTATTGGAGTGCAATTGTTTCCTCATTTTCTTGCAGGGTTCTTCGAAGAGAACTTGGTGTGTTAGAATTCATGTGCATTTCAGCATCCAATCTGCACCAATGAAAAGTATAATTTGATATATCTTACTCTGGGGTTTGTGGCAGCCAATGTTGCAATAAATATTCCTCATGTTCCCTGGAGAGGTGATGTAGGGAATTCAAGAGTAATTGCCTTATAAAGTGGTACAGCTGGTCAGTCTTGCTGGTAAATGATCAATGATAAATGATACAGCTTTTACTCCATGTCTGGAGCTATTTCAGGACACCAAATAATCTACATCTTGAAATAAGCTTAAGTTAGGAAATATTCCTTCCCAGAGACACCTCCACAGGGAAAGGAGTTGCAGCTACTGATTTAAAAACTAAATCAAATTTGCAATTAGTCTGAAAGGCTCCAGAATTCTAATGCACCCAGGCTCTCAAAGCTCAGAGCTAATGAGCCCAGTGGGTGCATAACAAAGACTAATTTATAGCATCATTATTTCCAAATAAATAAGGTAATGAGATCCATATCAGTACAGGAGCCTTACCCTTCTCCCCAGGGGAAGGTGCCTTAAGGGAGCTGCACTGTGAGTGTGATGTGGGATGATCTGGGCTGTTTGAGGACATGGCCAGGGGCTGACTGACTTCTGAAAAAGTCCCCCAAGTGACATAAAATCATAGAATCATCGAGGTTGGAGGAGACCTCTAAGATCATTGAGTCCAACTATTAACATGTCACTGCTGTAACCCCTAAACCAAATCCTCCAGTGTCAGATCCAGACGCCTCTTAAACACCTAGATGCTACACCTTCACAAGGGTAGCTTTTACTGTTCCACCTGTGAAATTTCACTTCCTTCTGTGCAGACATATGCACAAACTATGTGCAGGGTATGTGCACAAACTATGCCAGACTACAGAGCAAGACACAACAGATGCACAATGAAAGACGCAGAAGAACAATCCATACACATAATTACCTGGTTTACTCTAGAAACCTAAGTAATAGGTTTGTTATAAACTGGAAAGGGGAAGAAGCTTGTGTTATACACTGGGCAAGGTTTTGTAGCCCTTTGCTGCCCTTGCTGTCCTTGGCTGGACTCAGTGCCTCAATGGCCTCTGATTATCTCATTAAAGGTCATTACCAATGGATCAAAGAAACACCTGTCAGGAATAGTGTAGTGGTTCCTGCCATGGAGAAATGGTCCTTTGAGACCTTTTCCAGTCCTCTCTTCTGCAGTTCAGTGACGTTTTGGTGGTGGTGGTGAGGAAAGAGGGACACTGAGGACAGGTGAGGAGCTGTGCTGGAATAGACTGACATAATGAGCAAGGAAATGCAGTCCTGCTGCTAATCTGCTTTTCTGCTGATGTGTAAAAGTATCTGCATGTTCTGGGTGATCCTGAAGAGCTACTCCACTTCCCAGCTGGTACTTTAAAGTGGAGTTTCTTATGGATGAGTTTTTATGAAGATGCACCAACTGGGAGCAGCTTTTCCACGAGGTCAGAGAAGCTTAAAACTGTCTTATAAATAGCTCAAATCTTATTTTTCCTCTCAGATCTTTGGTATTGCCACTTGAAGAAATAGATTAGAAATGGATTCATTTTGTATGCCTGGCCACAGCACCAATTTCAAGTATCCATTCTAATCCATCAGTGTTGGCAATTATGTCCTTATTTGATCTTTTTCTTAAGCTCCTTCTTTGCTCATGTCTAGACAGACGTCTGCATCTGTGTCACTTGCTAAATATATTGAGCACTCTGTTGCTCTTTGCTTTTGCTTAACAAAAAAACCCTAGAAAACCAGGAAATAAATGGATTGTAAACTTCTGTTTTTCTCTGTAAGCTGAAATCCACACCTATGTACATACTTGTAAAACAATCTCTGGATTATTAAGTAAGACTTTTATTTGATGCTGCAATATGGACTTGCAGCCTAGAAACCAGCTATCCTGGGCTGCATCCAAAGCAGTGTGGGTTGCAGGTGAGGGAGGGGATTCTGCCTCTGCCCTCTGCTCTGGTGAGACCTCATCTGCAGTGCTGCTCCAGCTCTGGGGCCCAGCACAGGAAGGATGTGAACCTGCTGGAGTGAGTCCAGAGGAGGCACTAAGATGACCAGAGAGGCATGGAGCAGCTCTGTTGGGAGGAAAGGTTGATACAATTGGGGTTGTGAAGCCTGGAAAAGAGAAGGTTTTGGGCTGGCCTACTTGCAGCTTGAAAGAGTCTGCAAGAAAGATGGAGAGAGACTATTTCCAAGGGCCTGGAATGACATGACAAGGGTGAAATGGCTTTACACTGCCAGAGAGTAGGGTTAGATTAGATCCCTGGAAGTGTTCCAGGCCAGGTTGGATGGAACTTGGAGCAACATGATCTAGTGGAAGGTGTCCCTGCCCCTGTCAGGGTGGTTGGAGCTAGATGATCTTTATGGTTCCTTCCAACCCAAATAATTCCATGATTCTATGACTCATATAACTGCTGAAGTCAAATACACAGAAATACAGGACCTCTGGTGATCTGTATCCAACCTGCTGGTCAAAGCAGGATAGCTTTAAAGCTAGCTTACTTTGCTTGGGGCCTTGGCCATCTGAATTTCAAAAGACTCCAAGGATGTTTTTTCCATGCCCTCTCTGTGCACTCTGACCTGGTGCCATACCAGGCATGCAGAGAAGAACTTTCCACTGATGTCCAATTGACAAATGGCACCATCAGACTCCTCCTAGACCATTTATGTCTTCTCATACAGATATCATCTTATTGCTTACCTGAAATAAATTGTTACTGCTCATTTTTCTTACTGCCTGCCTGAGACATGTGAGCAAATCACCATTAGGAGAGCAAAAGTGCAAATATACAATAGAAAAAGTATTGCATGATTACTGTAGTCATTACTTGATCCCTTACTTAATACGTAATATCTTCCTCAGTGTAACAAAATTGAGTGACCTCCCATTTACTGTGAGATGCCACATTTACTGTGGGACATCTTTGCACACTACCTGTTGCCAAGGAACACCTGATGAAGATTATATTCTCTTCTGATAAGGAGTTGTGTGGTCATTCACACACCTTGCTTGTGCCCTCAGGTCTGGTTACCTGCAAGGCTGTGTGTTTATGTTGTGTGTTTATGGACAAGGAGCAATGGGGATAAATTGAAAGGGGGAAATTTAGATGAGATATTGGTAAGAAGTTTTCCCTGTGCAGGTGGTGAGACACTGGCACAGGTTGCCCAGGGAGGCTGTGGCTGCCCCAACCCTGGTGGTGTTCCAGGCCAGGCTGGATGAGCCTTGAGCAACCTGATCTAGTGAGAAGTCCCTGCCCAGGGCAGGGGGTGGGAGTAGATGATCTGTAAGGTCCATTCCAACCCAACCCTTAAATGATTCTATGATTCTCTATATAAAACACCAAGCCCACTTCACAGCCTTTCCTTGTTATTATCTCCTCTTTGTTTCCCACCTATTGACATGTCATGCCATAGTCTAGTCAAAGGTCCATGTCAAATTCCAGCCCTTCTAATGGCAAAAAATCCTTGTGTTCTTGTTTGCTGCATAGCTCTTCAGTTCATAGGTTAGACTGCAAACACTGTCTGAGTCAATATAAAACACCAAGCCCACTTCACAGCCTTTCCTTGTTATTATCTCCTCTTTGTTTCCCACCTATTGACATGTCATGCCATAGTCTAGTCAAAGGTCCATGTCAAATTCCAGCCCTTCTAATGGCAAAAAATCCTTGTGTTCTTGTTTGCTGCATAGCTCTTCAGTTCATAGGTTAGACTGCAAACACTGTCTGAGTCAAATCCTTAGGGCAGGGCTGAGTTAGATGAGAAGGAGAATCCTACGGCAACAGGAAAACAGCAAAGAGATCGTTTGAGAAGTGGGTGGCCTGGAGCAGCAGCAGGTGTTGTGCCTGCTCAGGGCAAAGTGTGCTCCAGGGCTTCTCCCAGACCAGGCAGTTCCCACTGCCTGTCACCGTGTGAAAGCCAATCTGTCCCTTAGATAAATCAGTGAAATGGGCTGTCATTTATCATGTCTGTTAAGCTCTTCCAAACAGGACTGAAATGTCATTGATTCCAGTCTTGTTGACATTAAGGTCACTTCTCAACCATCCACTCCA